GGTATCTAGAGGGATTTCCTCGACCTCCTCGGCCGGCTCTGCATGTGGCCTCTCCTCGTCTATGGCGACGGCGGCCGTAATGGTGTCTATCCTCTGTCCTTCCATTTCGGCCGGCCTCGTTAGCTTGAGGTAGCAAGCTCTGGCTATCCTCTGATTTCCTCTGGCGTAGCCGATGCCGTCGTTGGTGGGGAACTTCAGGCACAAGTGCTTCATGGAGATGATGGCCTCCAAGTCCTCCAGCGCTGGCCGGCCCAAGATCAGGTTGTGGGCGCACTGGAGGTTGACCACCATGAACTCCATGTCAATTTTGGAGTGGTGGGAGCCGTCACCGACCTCCACAGGGAGGACTATCGTACCCTCGGCGTCGATAGAGTCCCCGGTGAAGCCGGATAACGGGGTCTTGATCGGCTTCAGCAGAGCCCTGTCCAGCTTCAGCTGCTTGAAGGTGTCCAGGTACATCACGTTGACGGAGCTCCCCGTATCGATGTAAGTACGGTGGATGATGGAGTCACCGATCTCACATCGGATGACGAGGGCGTCCCTGTGTGATTCCGTACCCGGAGGCAAATCCTTGTCGGTGAAGGTGATTGCCTCCGTTCGCTGCCTCTTCGGCTGGGGGGGAACGTGGGACACCTCCCCAATGTAAAGGGACTGGGCCCATTTCTTTCTCTGAGTGGCGGAGTCCCCCCCAGTGTTCCCACCTACGATGAGGTGGATGTGATTCTTCTTCGGCGGGGGCTCTTCGAAGTCCTCGTCGTCGTTGAGCCTACCAATCTCCCGCTTCTTCGCAGAGGGTTCACCCCCATGTTTGTCGGTGTTTACCCAAGTGTTCTTGCGTGGGCCACCTTTGACAAACTGGGAGAGTTCCCCCTGGCGAATAAGGCGCTCGATGGCCTTTTTCAGTGTGATGCAATCGTCGGTGTTGTGCGACGAGTTCTTGTGGAACCGGCAGTACGTGCCGCCCTGCTGGATGGCAAGGATCTCCTCGGCCGGCCGAGGAGCCTGCTCGATGAGGCCGTGCTTCTCGGCATAATCGAGGATGGTACCGACCGGGTGGGTGAGGGTTACCCCCGGCCGTTCCAACCTCGGACGCCAGTGGCGGTCCTTCTTACTTTGTCCACCAGAGCCGTGGCGGCCCTGGGCACCCTGGCCGGCCGGGGACGGACCCGGGGCCGGCGAAGGATTTGTCTTCTTGGGGGGATGGCCCCCCTCCCTCTTGTGATTGTGGAGCTCGTCGGCGTCGGCATACAAGCCTCCGCGCTGGAGCGCCTTGGCGTACGACCTCGGGGGGTCGGTGATGAGGCTCCTAGCGTACGGGGAGCTGCGGAGGGCTCCCTGGTACAAGGCGAGGAGGGTGCGCTCATCGGCCCCCTCGACCTCCTCGGTCTCCCTCGTCCACCGATCGATGAATGACCGGAGGGACTCCTCGTGCTGCTGCTTGACGGAGAGGAGGTGGGTGAAATACTTCTTGGCGCGCTTCCTCCCGGCAAAGTGAGTGAGGAAGCGCTGGGCGAGATCCTGCCACGAGTCGATGTTTCCTTCTGGCAGCCCGTTGAACCACTCGTACGCTGGCCCCTCGAGAGTAGAGAGGAACCAACGGCAGAGGTATTCGTCGGACGCGTTCACCATTAGCATGTTGTTTTGGTAACGGCTGAAAAGCTCATGGGGGTCTGATCGGCCATCGTAGGACTTGATGGCGTTCCCCCTGTACTTCTCAGGGATGGGGGCCGAGAGGATCCTGTTGGTGAAAGGGGTCCTGGTCCTGACCTGGATGATGGGGTCATCTCGCCCCTCGGCCAGCTCCCTCTCCAGGGCGCTAACTTTGTTCATGAGCGCGTTGAGGCCGGGGTCGTTGGAGGCGCCGGCCGTAGGGATGTTGGTCGACTGCTTGGCCTCCATCTGAGCCAGCCTCCTTTCCAGCTGGGCGATGACCTCGTCTCGGGGGTCCCTGTCGGCCGCGGCGGCACCCGACTGGTTCCTCAGGCGCTCGTTGTGAGCCGCGTTGATCTGGTGACGCACGTCATCCTCGTGCAACTTCCCCTTGCCCTTGTCCGGGCGGGGCTGGTCTGCTGTCCGGGACACAGACCCCAAGCTTTCCCTTGGCGAGCCAGGACGAGGATCACCAATCCGTCCCGCCATCCTCTCCGAAACCGGACGACGGCGCGTGTCACCTAGCCTATTGAAGGCAGAGGCTTTTCCACGTGCTGGGGTCTGCCCGGGCCGAAGAGGGGAAGCAGGGTGGGAGTGGGACGACGCCGTGTCCTGGGGCACCACCCCCTCATCGTTGCCTATCTGGACAGCCAACGGTTGGTGCTGAGGAGGTTGAGTGACGTTCCCCCCGGTCCTTGGCAAGAGTGCGCTGAGGTCGGTGGGGTTCTGAGCTAGGCTGGCGATGATGACCGACAGCGCGGCCTGGACCTGTGGGTCCACGGACGGAGAGGCCGCGGCCATAGGCTGGGCCGGGGCATGGTCCGTCTTCTCAGCTCGTTTCTTGTCCAGGCCGAGGCGGGCATCAGGGACTCCGCCGTTGAGTTGGTTGTGGAGGTCCGTCGTGAGGTTGAAGGCCTCCTGGAAGAGGTCCCCTCCGCCGACCTGGTCGGCCGTGGCGTCCTCATCGTGCTCCCTGGGCTCTTGGTCCTCAGGGATGGCTTTGCTGACGAGGTTGCGGTTTGACTTAGTTCTCCCCATGATCAGTGGTTAGCTGTGCTTGGTAGCGACGAAGGGTGCTAACTTGATTGTTCTAGCTCTCAACGAGAGCACCAAATGATAGAGTATATCTCTAGAGAGAAGTGAGAGCTAGAGAGAGAAGTAGTATATTGGCTTGATATTAATGAATTCTGAACCCCTACAACTACTCCCAAGGGGAGTATTTATAGAGAAAATACGGGCTGGGCTCCCAAGCCTTGGGCTTGGGAGGCCATTTACAACTGGACCGCTACTGGGCCGAATACAAAGCCACTAATGGGCTGTACAAATGAATAAGTATAAAATCCGATTCTGGGAGGTCCTTGTGGCCGACGAGGGCGTGGCCGACGAGGGCACGGCCGACGAGGGCACGGCCGACGAGGGCACCCGAGCTCCTTGGGCTCAGGACCATAATCTGAGTTGGCCCCTTTTCAGCCGACGGGGGCGTCTTGGCCGACGAGGGCGCCACTCTGTGTTTTGTGCTTTCTGTTCTTCCGAGTATGTGGGTCTAGGGGCTCAGACCCATATACTCCATCACCGACCATATGTAAATTTTAATTATAAAAATTGTTCTCCGTATTAATTATCAATAGGGAGGACTTAACATTAACATTGGTTGACCAAAAAATGTTGACTTTACAAATCAATTTGGGATGGATGGAATAATTAATAAATTTCAGATAAACTATAATAGTACAAATTTAAATAATTAAATCATACTTCAATCCAGTTCGGTGCGATACCGGTTCTTTTTTTATGAGAACCCATCATGGCATTGTTTGAAACCGGTACGGTCCGGTTCGGGATGAAAAATTTTGGGATCTGTTTCAAACCCCTTTTATCGGTCTGGTACCATATCGGTCTAGTTCGGTACCATGCTGTTTCGGTACCATACTAGGCTAGCAAATTACAAACCAATTAAAACATCCTAAGCACTTTTTTTTTATCACAATAGGATTTATGTAGTTCAACTATAACTTATAAAACAAAAAATTCTAAAATACACTAATCCTATTTAAAAAGAAAATAACATAACTCCTACTTAGAATCTTTGGAGTGTTTTAGTGAATTTTTCCTACAATATGATACTCTCAAAGGATCAAAGTAGTATTTTTTTACTCCAAGAGGTCTGGGGGAGGGGGCCTTGAAGCCTGAAGTAATCAAGAATGAAATTCACCTTCTTGAGTTTCAAACCCTTATGTGTCTATCATTCCATTGAGTTTCAAACCTTTATGTGTCTAGCGGGTTTCGAACTCGAGACTTCTCACTAGGATCAAAGTAGTATCTTGCCTACGTATATCCATAATTTGTGAGGAATCATTGCACTCGCATGTTTTCTAGTAGTTTCACTTAATCACTTATGAAAGATTTTCTTAAATACAAATGAAACATTGAAATGAAGTTTTTTCTCAGAGGTAGTTCTAAAACTTATTTCCCAAAATAGAGTATTTTTAAACTTATTTCCCAAACTAGGGTGTTTTTTTGCCACATCATCCCACCTGCCACGTCACGGAGGCCACATAATTGCTAGTCATTCCATGTCATCAAAATTGTGTGTGTTTTACTTAGTAAAAATAATATGCCACTAGTGAGAGTTGAACTCATGACATCTCACATACTCCCTAATAATGCAAGAACCACTAGACTACAATGCTCATTTGGATGATATAGATTTTAAGTTTTGAGATTTACTTTTTTAACTCGTGCATTACTCGTTCCTTTAGGATATTTTACTTCTTTATCAAATAATTAAAGAATTTGTGAAAATTTTAATTTGAGATATTCAATTAAAAAATAAAAAACCCAATTAAAAATTATGATAAAAACGTAATTGTATATATGTAATTATAAAAAATTGTATTTTATATGTTCAAGTTCAAATAAGATGCTCAATATCGAGCTAAACAAATAATGAGAAATTGAAAAATATAAATAAATAAATAAATAAAATTATTGATGAATTGATAAATAAATTTGTTTATTTAATTCATCTATTATTTATTTATTTATTTTTATTTTTCAATTTCTCATTATTTTTTTAAAAATCGCTTTTAAAAATATTGATGAATTAATATAATAAACAATATTTCCAACATCACTTTTAAAAATCGCTTTTTTAAAGTAGAATCACTCACAAACATTCCCCTTATTCATTCTTAATTCAAGAAATTTTATGCACTTAATAGAATTAAATAAGTTCCATTTTGATGATAATAAAGCATCATTACTCATATTTTGACCAATCTTTTACTCATATTTGGCCCAACACTTAACTTGTCCGGATCCCTAGAAAAACAACATTTCATGACAGGAGCGGGCCTTCATTACACTCTCAGCGCGTCCCCTGTTTTCCCGTGATCCAAGAACCCCTTATTTAGTCCATGCTCTCTTAGCTTAGCTTATTGTATAGCTAACTAAATCATGGGAGGTGCTCAAACCAGAGGAGAATGCAGAAAGTTCCCATATGACGAAAAGGTTTTGGAAGGGATGAAGTATAAGGTGAGGATTCTTCAGCACGAGGTGGAAGAAATGGTGTGTTTGAGGGAGAAAGAGAGCCGAATGTATGAGCAGGAGATGGCGCTGTTCGCCGTTAAAGAAGCCGAGTGGGCGAGGGAGAGGAAGAAGCTCAAGGAGGAAGTGAAGAAGCTGAGGAATGTGTTGGAGGAAAGTAAGAAAAGAGATGCAGAAATTCTGGGTGAGAATGGTGGGGAGAGCTATCTGATTCACCATATCAGAGAGGATCAAGCCAGGAGAGATGAAGCAGTTGAGAAGTGGAAGCAGCTATATTTTTCCATCAAGGTTGAATTGGATCATCTTATTCTCAGAACCAATCAAGGTAAGTGATCTTATTGATCCCCCATCCAATGGATTTTGACAACTTTTTTAGTTCCCGTAACAAATTTTATTTTCGTAAAGTAATTAGTTTGTGGTTCTAGTTATTTTTTTCTCATCCATTTGTACATACATAATATCTCGATAACATAATTTTTATTTTACTTTTCTCACCTAATTTAAAGTTGACAGAATGACAGACTCCACCAGAATTGAGATGATATTAATTTTGACTGTGCTATGTATTGAAATTTCTATCTTTAACTTAGACTTCATAATATTTTCATATCCTTGATTAATCATGAGTCCATGACGAGAAAGTGATCCAGCCCAGCTGGTCGCCGACTCACTCTCCCTTACGGGAGATCTCAAGTTCGAAACTCAATAGAATGAGTTTCAGCCCTAATTACTCCAGATCCCAGACCCCCTCCCCAAGACGTCCCTAGAAGAGTAAAAAAATAATAATGAGTCCATGACTTATTTCTTTTATAAAGTACTCTTTCCGTCCATTAAAACTTTGACTAGCACATAAAATAATAAAGTAAAATTTGTGTGATTGAGATTTGTGAAGAATAAAGAGAAGTAATGAGTTGATTAAAAGGAAAAGTAACAAAGCTTTTGAGACATTTCGAAATGAGAGTGATATTGAATTGCAATGAATATACTTTGTATGACAGGAGAAAGTGCGTGGAGGAGAACATATGAGGAAGATGTGGAAAAGGAATTGAAAGCCAAGGAAGAAAGCATTAAGCTTCTAGAATCAAGAATTGCATTATTGGAGCAACAAGTTTTGAAGAGGGAAAGGGAAGTTGATATCTTGAGACAAAGCTTGAAGATTATGTTTCACAACAAGATAGGCCGTGCTTAAGTTGTGTTTTGTAATTATTTTATATAATATACATCGTATATGAAAAGCATATCATAGAATAATTGAATGTTTATATATAGCAGTGTATTTCTTCTTTTCATATATTTTGACAGAAATCCATTTAATGTTGTAGTGTGTATTAAACATATATAGAACACCAACACAAGTCTATATTACTTAAGTAACTATTTGCATTAAATTAAAGAGTAATCATTCTCGATCTTGATTTAATTCTTTGTAATTTTATGGATTTAAATACTACTTCTTCCCTTCGAATGAAACTGGTCAGCTATGTTCGACGGACTAAATAAGAAGTGGAACCAGGGATGGATTTAAGGGGGGCGCGGGGGGCGACCGCCCCCCTTGGACTTTCAATTTTTTTTATTATATATGTAATATTTTCATACTTTAATTAGATATATATGTTTTCGCCCCCCTTAACTTTTAGTTTTAAAAATTTATATATAGCATTACATAATGTAATACATAATTGGAGATTTAAAAAAAGTAACATCTAAAATAATTTACTTAACTTGAATGAATAAACAATAGCACAACCCATTGTTTAAGACATACGACATCTATTATATAAGGGGAAAATAATTTAATTATCCCAAACTTTGAAAATGTGTGATGTAAACACCCCAAACTTTCATATATAATATTTATATCTCAAACTTTATATAAAAAGTAATATTAGTACCATGAAAATATGTTTTTTTAATTCACAATGTATATTTATGATGCTTTAACTACAACTCTATAAATGTTTAACTATTTTAAAACATGTGCTTAACACCATAAATTTACATTTTTGAATAAAAACTACATAGTAATGGTGATAACATAACTTTTTATGTAAAGTTCGGGGTATATATATTACACATGTAGGTTTGGGGTACTTAACTCACCCTTTTAAAATTTGGGGTATTTAAATTATTTTCTCCATTATATAAAAATTTCTAGCTTTGTAATATTTAATTGTCTTTATTAGATAATTAGTACTCAATTTTGTAAAATATCGAACAATATTAATTAAATAGCATACACACTAGTTAAATAATTTTTAGATCATGTGAAGTAAATCTAAAATATAAATATTTATTGACATTAAATTGCACAATTCATTTACTTATTACTTTCTAAATACAATTTGTTGAATATATAGATAATAAACTTGAACTTACTGTAGCATTAATACAAATACAATATGCACCATATATGTGAATTAACAATACTATGTATAATATTATTCTAGAATAATAATATCACACATACTATTGTAATATTAAGAAAACTTCTCGTGACCCACGAACACCATCCTTAGTAAACAAAAATTGCAATTCAAAAACCAATTCTTTATTCTAATAAGATCCATATGGATAAACAAGGCAGAAGTTATTTAAAAATCTTGATTGATGTGTACCTTTTAAACTCTTTATCTTCAAATAATTTTCATTTGATTTGTCATTTCTTATGCTTTAATGTATCAATACTTTTCTTAGAGCATTTACAATTAAAAAATTAAAATTATTTTTCCATTGTTTAAACATGGAATGTAATATTCTTTCAAAAAAAAACTTAGAATGTAAGATTTAAATATCATCGTGTATGTACCGATGGATTTTTTTGAATGAAAATTAGGCGCAAAGCTCTATGCTAGCAAAAAAAATCACCCCGTTACACAAGCGGAAAAAATTGTCACGATACACTAGCGAATTTTTTTCGCCCCCTATGCTAACAGAAAAAATACGCCCCCCTTGACTCGGTATCCTGGATCCGTCCCTGAGTGGAACTATGATTGAAATTTATGTAGAAGATGTTAAAACTTGAGATTCCGTCGTAAAAGGTTGTGATACGAGGAGTTAACAAAGGTTTATAGTATGTTGGTTTGTATTTTTATACACAATCGGTGTGAGACATCTTAATACGTCCCGAAGATGGTGCCTAACTTGTTCGTGATATGACAATCTTTTAATTTGTGTGCTCATTGTTGAGACTTATCCGGATCTAAAACAATTTTGGTGTATAAAATACAACAAATACATAAAGTTTTAGATATTAAGAATATTGTTTCGGACAATTCTAAACCGGTTTGCTTTACTAGGACACTAATTAATAAACAAGTCAAAATTGTATGTGAAAAAATAGTACAACAAATAATTAAGCATAGTCAAGTTATATACCATCCTCCGTTCTTTAATTCTTGCAATATTTTGACTTTCACGTTTGTCAACGCACAACTTTGACTGTAATTATATTTAATTATGTATTAGTAAATATTACAAAACGTTGATATTTTGGAAATTCACATTGATAGGAATTCAATAACATTTTATACGAAATAATTTGATTATGTATATTAGTAGAAAATCGTGATCAAAGTAAGGTCTGTTAATAGTGTAAAAGTCACAATGTTGCAAGAATTAAAGAACGGAGGAAGTATATAATACTACGTAATATACTACTTATAATGTAATATACATTATTTGATAGAATGTTATTTTTTTAACACGACATTACAAAAAACAGCAATATTGGCACAAAGTTGCCACTGATTGGTCAAGTTTGACACATATCATAATAAAGTTTTTACACGGGCGAAATAGCCGGTGATAAAACGGCTATGACACGAAATTTGGCACGAATCTGATGTATTCATGTCAAATCTCCTATGAATTTTGACAAATTAATTCCAAAGATTTGTGTTACATCCGTGCCAATTTCTTTGGAGTGCAATCAGATTAGAAAAGTTAATGGGATGTGTCTATGAACATGTATGCAACAACTTGTTAGACCTCATTGGGTATAACTTTGGTACGGTTTTTAATTAGGGAGTACTTGTAGGGATGGATTTAAGGGGAGCTACCGCCCCCCTTCGACTTTCAAAATTTTCTAACATATATATAATATTTTCATAAAATTTTCATACTTTAATTAGACTCGCCCCCCTTAATTAATTTTCAGTTTCAAAACTAATTTATATATATATATATATATATATATATATATATATATATATATATATATATAGTCTTACACAATTCATTTACTTCTTACTTTCTAAGTTCTTACACAATTTTCATGCTTCTTACACAATTTTCTTACTTTGATGAAATTTGTATGGCATATTCTTCATCAAGTCTAGTTTATCCACGAAAAATTTCAAATTAAAATTCGGTCGGGAAGATAGTCAAATAATGTTTTGAAGTTCACTGCACTTTTCTGTGTATAATTTGGCGCAGTCAACTTCAAAAACTTATTTGACTGCCTACCCGATCGAATTTTAAGCTAAAATATTTTGAGGATAAACTAGACTTGATGAAGAACATGTCATAAAAATTTCATCAAACAATTCGAGCGGGAATCACCCCAAACGGCGGTGTTCGGACGGAGGCTCCTGTCCGAACGTTCGAACATGAGCATTTCTATATATTTATGAAATAGCAATATAATATTATTCTAAAAATAATAATGTCATACATAATATTGTATTATAAAGAAAACTCATCTTGACTCACAAACACCCTCCTTGGTATACAAAAATTGCAATTCAAAAACCAATTCCTTATTCCGATAAGATTCATGTGGTTAAACAATGTAAAAGTTATTTAAAAAGTATTGATGGATGTGTACCTATTAAACTATTTATCTTCAAATAATTGGATAAAATGTTATATATCCTTTTTTATTTTCAAATTATTTTTCTTTGATTGTCATTTCTTACGCTTTAATATATCAATACCTATTTCTAGAGCACTTCAATTATAATATCGAAGTTAGTTTGCCACTGTCTAAACTTAGATATTAGATTGTACTCCCTCCATCCTGAAAAGGTTGACCAAATTTCTTTTTTTGGATGTCCCAAAAAGATTTGTCATTTCCATTTAAAGTAAGGAATATGCGGCTAAAATTAATTCTCTCTCCTCTGTACAAATTTCAACCACACAGTTTTTACTTTATTAATCCACGTGAAAGTAAACTTTGGCCAACCTTTTCGGGACGGAGGGAGTAATATATTTAAATGTTGTTGTGCATGTATTAATGGATTTTTTTAAATGAAAAAGCCGCGTAGCCCTACACTAGAGAAAAATTTTTGCCTCGCTAAACTACCGAATAAAATTCGTCCCGCTACACTAGGGAAAAATAATTCACCCCTTACACTAATGAAAATTTTCGCCCCCCTTAACTCGAAATCCTGGATCCGTCCCTGCAGTACTTGCATGTGAATTAAAACGTGACACACTTATATCGGCCAGTAAATTTAGAAGAGTCCCGCTTCGTGTACACGTCGGGTTACATGCGAGTTACACGCCGGTCAAATTGTCTTGTAAAGACAATTTGACCGACATTTTTGAAGAAAATAGATTTCCACACAGACAAAAATAAAAGGTTGTCTGTATCACAACATTTCAAACGAGAATTTTTCATAAAATGTATGTGATAAAGACAATTTTAAACGAGCATTTTAAAATGTATGTGATACAGACAAATATCTTAATTTTGTCTTTGTGAAAATCGATTTTTTCATAAAACGCCGGTCAAATTGTCTGTACAATTTGATCGACGTGTAACCCGACGTGTAAAAAGCTACATGTACGTAGGGAATTTTCCAATTTGGAAACTTCACTTCTCATAGTTTCCGTAATTCCTTTTGTTTTTTCAAGAAACAGAAAGCAACAGAAGGAGAGGGACTACAAGGAATTGGGAAGGAAGGGGTATTTTATTGTAGTCAAAATATGAAATGGAGTTAAAGTACACGCAAGTAATTGCACAAAAACAGAAATTTCTATATCTTATCGCATCTGATTGTTAGTCTTGTTTGCCTCACAGCGTCGTAACATTCCAAATGCTCATTGTTAGAGATGTCATAAAAATGAAAATTAAAAAATACGTTGAGAAATTCAGTCCCAATTAAGGATTTAATCTCATCTAAACATGATAAAATTTATATAATCAAACAATAAGAACACTAACCGGTTGAGGAGAAACCAAACGTTGATGGCGAAGATGATGAAGTCATGATGTTTTTGGATTCTCTAAGGATACAAGCGGATTTCAATGGATTAAACGATCTTCCTTGGGTCTCCTAATATAGGTGTTCTTGAGACCTTTTGAGAAGAAACGTGCCCGGTCGTTTTAGTCGTGAGAATGGAAAGAGCCTTATATCTTGTATCAAAGAGAAACCCATTTATGTATTATTTAATGTTAAAACATACCATCATACGTTA